CCCACGGCGCTTGTGCTGAATCATGTTTGCCTGGCATGCCTCCTCACGCCGGAAGTCGTAAACAGCCGAAATTACATCCCGTTCTTGCTGGGAGACTCAAAAAAAAAAAAAAAAAAAAAAAAAAAAAGCTTTAGAAGATATTAAATAAATTGCATGAAATGAAAGGTAAAGGGGAGAAGAAACAATTGTTCAAAGACCACTTATCCTGGAAAAGAGACAGTTAAAAAATATTTTAATTTCTTTTCTATGCAATCATTTGAAATGCATCAGATCTTTCACGCTTTTTTATAAGATCTCATTCTCTGCTGCAGAATTTGAGGGAACCCAGCTAGACAGAAACAGGGCGTGTTGTAGTAGGAATAAGGTGACCACGAGCTCCACAAGAGGACTCCAAGGGCGGTTAGAAATAGCCACTCACAGCCCCTGGCAGGTGCAAGGAACTCAACAGACACTGAGGGATAAATTGTCGGGGAGACAGAGGAATGACAACAAACCTCTTAGTCCCTGGAAACACGTCCTCACAGTGGACAGGCATGGAAAAGGGGGTGGCGCGGTTGCAAGGCTTAACATCTGCGCTGCTCACAGGGGGCGTGCAGGGCCAGCGCAGCAGTTCCCAGCCAGGAGTGCAAAGCACATCAGCGCCTCAAGGCCACACCTGGGAGCAGGTGGCCCAGAGCTCCCGTCTCATCTTTTTCAGAGCTTGTTCTCTCAGACACGCCTTGTTCTGAGCTTGTCTAGTCTTGGAACATGAAAACCAAGCCCCAGACAAATTGGACAATCGGCCAAGCCATGGTCCTCCATAGTCAGGCCGCAACCTACCCCTCCAGGCTCCTCTCCCACCACTCCCTGCCTGGCGTCTTAGAGATGCTGAGCTGCTCGAGGTTCCTGCATGAGCTGCTCTAGGCCACACTCCCCTACTTCACTCTGGCATTTTTGCTCCCTGGAGCACCCTCTCCCCTGTACCCCACATCACAACTCTGGGCCCACACACATTTTTACCTACCTGATTCCTTTTGGGCTTCAAGATTTATCTCAAGTGTCACCTCCTCCAGGGAGCCCAAGCAAATCCCTAGGCAAAAGTAAATGTTTCTCCCCTGCTTCTCAAAGCCTCCATGTTTATGTTCACCATTGTTCTTAACGTTTTCCTCAAAGTATAGAAAATCTGAACTGAATGGGTCTGCCTCCCCCACACTCCCTACCACACACACATTCACATTGGGCCACATCCTCCTCAGGGCAGGGGCCCCACCATAATGCCTGCCTAGCTAAGCTCTCAGATGGCAGGCTGCTAGGCAGAGGGGCTCCCAGTCTAATGAGGGCAATGCTGCAGCCCCCAGAACACGGCACAGAGAAAAGAGTGTGATCAAAATGAGGCCTGAGAAGACAGTGCAACAGGTTAGCCAGCAGGGTGGAGGTGCTTCTGGAAAGTTCCTGGGAAAAAGGACTTCCTCTTAGAGGAGATTATAGTCCTGTTCTTTCTCAAATCACTTCCCCCTGTCTCCAACACCCAGACCTACCTGTCCTTCCAGATCCCACTTAAATGCCACCTCTTACAGGAAGCCTCCTGTGATTGCCAGCCTCCCTCATTCACCAAAGATTAGGAGAAATCTCCCCCTAAATCTCCACTGAACTCCTATAGTTTTTGCTTTTAGCTGACAATAGTGTTTGACTGTATATGTGGTTACCAAATTATTTATGTGCATCTTTTTATCTAGACATTGTGAAGTCCTGGAAAGTAGAATCCAATTCTTATTATAAAATTGCCTAAAACTGATTAGGTACTCAATAAACATTTGTTCATTCAATCATCATTTGTTAAACATCTACATATGCCAAGCACAGTAGCCCTGAAATATCAAGATAACAAGGCATGGCCCTTGCCCCTAAAGAATTCAAAGGCTAGTGAGTGGGTGCTAGGTATTTAGGCGAATGGCAAATTGCAATCAACACCCTTATTGTGGAAAACCCAATTCACCTAGCTTCTCCCTTGAATTATTGAGGATAAACCCATCATCACACTTCAATTAAAAACATTACCGATGCAAAACATTTTTACCTTGACCTTAAGTCAATAAGGAAACCATGTGCAGCCATAAGCCTGAGTCCTGGGCCAAGATCCTTCTCGGCAACAGCCCTAAACTCAGCCTGCTCCCCAAGGGATAAAAAGATGCCTGTTCCGTCCCTCCTTCAATACAGTAATATGTTAAGATGTCGTCTTCCCTGTCCTGGGCTGGCCACCACTGGGTCTGGATGCCCATGTGCAGTGACTCAGAGCAGGGCACAGCTTCCTCACTTATTTCCCTAGGTAGCTGTCTCACTTAATCTTGACCTTGACTATGCACCCAGGACACGGCTCTAGACAGACCTTATTCTGAGGTCTTCCAGTCATGGAATCCAAAGCCTGGGTCCCAGCAGTAACCTTAACCAAGCTCCTATGGGGGAACAATACTAAGTAAGTCCCTCTTTGCTGTATCCTCCTGGGTTTACGAACAATAGAGGGAGACATTAGAAGTGTTCGCAAGAAATTGGTGAAACCAAGGAGGCTGGTCCCAGAGCAGAGGGTCTGGGGTCTATGCAGATGTAGTGCTTGGTTGCCAGGAGCCTGAGTGAAAGCAAAGGTGAGGTTGCAACTAAGGCTAGATGTCAAGAGCCTGGAGGGTGACAGTCAGGGCACATACCAAATAAAATGAGTTACCACCCACAGCTGAGACGTGATTTCACTACACCTCAAGGGAAAGCATTTGGGGGGTGGGAGGGGGCTGCACACGGCTCTCAAGGGTCTGGTAATGCAGCCTGTGTCTCCACAGTTTCCCTGAACACAAAGCCCTGGCCAGCATCCAGCTCTAAGGATCTGTGAGAAGGGTGTTGCCTGCTATCTCAGAACTGGATTCTCCCCCCAAATAATCCCTTTTGACTAACCAGCCAGCTCCCAAGCTCCAGATCAGCCAGGATCCACTCGCCTGGGCATGAATAATTTCCCCCTTTTATGTAAAACATAAATCTTCTTATATCAATAAAAAATCGGAGTCATACAGTCACTTGCCTGCAAATACAAACACGCTTCTTCTAAGGCACACGTGCACCATTTGATCTACGACTTGCTGTGTGATTAAATGTAACTGGAGCGCCCCTGGACCTCGGTGCCACCCAGGCCGGCTACCCCCACACTTCCTTTGCTCAGAGGACAGGAGAAAGTCATTCACCTGCCAGGCCCCCCACTCCTGGCTTCTCAGTGTGCCTCTCCCCGGCCTGCCCCCTCCTAGTGGAGGCCTTGAGAAGCTCCTTCCTACCCTGACTCCTCCCCAACACAGAAACTCAGAAGAGAGCCACGCTAGCATTTTCCCAGGGGAGGGCTGCCGTGGTGGGAAGAAGTCAAAGCCACCTGACTCGCTGCAAAGACTTCCTGCTCTGATGCACCAGGGAGTGAGCCCGAGATGCTGAGGAGATTGGGAGGAGCTTGTGGAGGGCCCAGCTGGGAGCAGCTGTGCTGGGGCCACAAGGCCCACGGGTTAGCCCTTCACTGCTCTGCCCTGTAGCGCCAAGCCTGCCTCAAGCTGTGCCAAAAAACGTCCCTTGAGCAGAACTGGCTTTGTGTTCCATGGACACACAATCAGGGTCGCAGTCTGAGTGAACTCCCTGCCGGTCGAAGCGGAAGGCACCGCTGGGAGGCGCAGGGAACGAGTGTCCTCAGCAGGAGGGACTGAGGTCGGGCTGCTCGTGCGTGGTCTTTGCTAGGGAAGGCAAAGTCATGCTGCCCCAGTGTCTTGGGATCAGGCCAGGGTAGAAACAGGGTGTCCTCCAAGGCTCTACCCCACCTCTGAGCGTCCTCTCCTTCATTCTGCAGTTAACCCACCAGAATCTCCAGGGCAGCAGCTCCACCCGCTACCGTTCCAGAAGCTCTGCCTCACCTGTCACTCTCCCACCCTCAGGGACAGCCACATAGAGAGAACCCTGGACTTAATCGCCCGGGAGAGGGGAAGCGGGCATCGCACGAAAGCCCCGCGAGAGCACATGCCGACACTGCCCCGGCCAACATGCACCACCTCGTCGATTCTGAGAAGCTCCTGAGGGCCTTGCTCGTCCAGCAGGATTTAGCTCTGCGCATGGAATAAAAATAGGGGCACTGAGAAGAAACACCCATAAGCTCCAGGACCTGTCGTTCTGTATTCAACAGCGACCCTCAACCACCTGTCCCACACCCAGAGTCAGCCCCTCCCCTGCGGTGCCCGCGGGCTCAGCATCGAGAAGGCCCAGCCCGGGGTGCCTGCACTGGGCGACGTCCTGTCACTGCTGGTTGTTCTGAGTCTGTCCCCCTATTCTGTAAACAGCCTTCAAGCTCTACGCACTGCACTTCTCCCTCAATAATCTGCGCAACTCAGAAGGAAAGTCCTGAGAAAGTTGCTGACGACCTTGATTTGGGCAGACACAGCCCTTGGTCCAAAGCTCCTGCACTTCCACCCGAGTTCTGGGGCCTCTCTCCACCCCCCCACCCCCCCACCCCCCCACCCCCGAACAACGACACCTGCTCAGTATGAATGACAAAAGCAGTTTATTGAAGATTCACCAGAGGATGGACAGAGGGAGTGAGGGGCTGAGTGGCACGCCGAGCGGCCCTCGTCCTGACTTTGCAGGGCCAGATGCTGTCAAGTGTCGGAGAATCGCGGTCCTGATGGGGACGGCACTGGGCTGGAGAGGCAGCTGTGGCGATAATTCTAGAGATGAAGCTCCTGGTCAGAGCCTCTCTGTCCATGGGGGGATGAGTAAGCGGACGCCCACTGCAGTGGCCTCCAGGCGCAAACTGAGAAGCTTCCAAACTCCAAGAGGTCAGAGTTCATGCCCTGGCGGAAAAGGTCATGCTGGGAGCAGAGAGAGTCCAGGGGGGCGTGCAGGTGACACTGGTAAGATGAGCCCCAGAGTGGGGGTGCCGGAGGGGATGAAGAAAGCACAGAGAACCAGGGCTGGCCCCGCAGGGCTCAGGGGCTGCAGGGACCCTGTCTCCTCTATCGGAAGGATCTCTTGCTCATGGTGGTGGAACAGATGACCTTGCTGCCGGAACTGCCACAGACGCCACTGCCGATCCCAAAGCCACTTCCACAGCTGGAGCCAAAGCCACTGCCCAGGCCAAACCCGGAGCAGCTTCCAAATCCTCCGCCCATGCCTCCAGCGCCGGCGCCACCACCGACCATGGCTGTAGGAGAAAAGCAGGGGACAGGGTTACTCCCGAGGTGCCGGCATCCAGGAGTCTTCACCCAAACTAAGGGGACAGAGGCCACGGTGGGGGTGGGAGGGGTACTTACAGATGTTCACGGTGCTCTGGCACTCCCCGGACATTCTGCGGGCGAGAGAAAGAGCCATGAGCCAGGTTTGCTTTGGTAGGTCTGTGGCAAGCACCTAGCCCATCCCCAGGCAGCCTCATGGCAGGCCTGAATGTGCAGCTGCCGTGGGCACTGCCGTGTGCCAGCACAACCTGGAGGCAAGTGCCAGCGGTGGTGCAAACTCATGTCCCTGAGCCCCTCCATCCCTCCAGTTGCAGCCCTGCCGCCCCGCACCTGCACTCCTCGCCCTCCAGCAGCTTGCGGTACGTGGCGATCTCCACATCCAGGGCCAGCTTCACGCTCATCAGCTCCTGGTACTCGCGCAGCATCCGGGCCAGCTCCTCCTTGGCCTTCTGCAGGGCAACCTCCAGCTCTGTGCGCTTGCTGTAGGCATCTTTGAGAGCCAGCTCTCCACGCTGCTCTGCATCAGCCACGGACGCCTGCAGAGTCTGGCACTGCAGACAAGGGCATGGGGCAGGTGATCGTCAGTGTCCTGCTGTCAAAGCCTCTACGCCTGTGCCCTCCCTGTGCCAGCTCGTCTTGGGTTAAGATGTCAGGATTCTGCCTGTCCTTCTCCCCTGCCTGCCTGGACTCATCTCATGCACACCAGGCGGGGCCTTCCAATTCCCCATGCCCTCCCTCCCCCACCGGCTGATTAGCTGAAGATGAACAAAGCTGAAGAAGAGCCAAGATCTATTGAATGGGGTGTGACATCATGTTAATCAGAATATTTCTGAAAAGATCTGGGTATGGATTATAAAGAGCTACAAATCCCCTGCAGACAAGCTCAAGATCTTCTGGTGATACCTTATCTGCTGGTATGATATGGAGACATCTGCCCCAGGCCCTGGCCCTGTCCTACAGCTGTAAGGAGGTGAGACCCACCTGCTTCTTGACGTTCTCGATCTCGGCCCGCAGCCTCTGGATCATCCTGTTGAGCTCCATGATCTCGGTCTTGGTGTTCTTCAGGCTGTCACCATGTTGGTCAACTGAACACTGGAGCTGCTCGACCTAGATCCCAGGGAAACATGGGGAACCAGAGGTCAGGGGTCATATTTGGGTAGGTTCTCTTCTTAAGAGTAGTTGTAGGTGTCAGGGATAATACACATGTCATGGAATCTCCTATCAGACCAGGATCGGTAACGCCTGGAAGATCAGAACATCTCTGGCTTCTCTTGACCTCAGCTGACGATATCAAAATCAGAGCCCCAGAAGTCACTCCCAAACCCCAAGAGATCCCCAGTACCCACCTTGATCTTGTACAGCGCCTCGGCCTCGGCCTTGCTCCTCTGGGCGATCTCCTCATACTGCGCCCGGACCTCAGCAATGATGCTTTCCAGGTCCAGACAGCGGTTGTTGTCCATGGACAGCACCACGGACGTGTCGCTGACGTGGCTCTGCATCTGGCACAGCTCCTGCAGGGAACATGCCTCACATCAGGCCTCCTGCACAGTCTTCCCTGCTCTCTGACACCAGTCTCACGTGGAGGCAGGGTTGGCATTCCCGATGTGTGAGGAGCAGGAATGGGGATAAATTTCTATGTTGAAATCAAGTGGTTGGTGACATCTGAAGACAGAAATCAACGCTTCTCTACTGCCCCCTGGGAACCACAGGCCACTGCACACCAGTGGGCATATTGTATGGAAGACACCCCAGGGAATAGATCCATTGGACCAGAACAGCTTTCAATTCTATTCCAGGCCTTCTGAGAGCTAATCATTGCTTCTACAGCAACATCAGGTCTTGCGAGTCTCTCCTGGACTCTCATTTCGACCCTTTCTAGTTGTGACCGTGCTGGGATCACACTGGCTTGACTGAAGGGATCTGGAATCCTTTCAAAGAACTGTGAATTCCAGCCAGCAGCCTGAGAGCTGGGGAGTGCCATCCCTGATCAGAGGGGGTGAGTCCTCACCGCAGCATAGAGGGCCCTCAGGAAGTTGATCTCATCATTCAGAGCGTCCACCTTGGCCTCCAGCTCCACCTTAGTCATGTAGGCGGCATCCACGTCCTGCAGAGGAGGAGGGAGGATAAGAGATGAGGTTCAGGACATACGACAGGGAGAGGGGTGTGAAGTGGCACCCAGAGGTGCTGTCAGCAGCAGTTAGGTGAGGAGCTAATCCAATCATCTCACATATTCTGCCCTGAAGCCACCTCCAGACACAGAGTCAGTTATCCAAGTGGCTTCCTCCCACTGTTAATTCCTTGGAAACTGGTTCCATCACAACTGGACAGTACCTGGCAGCTTGGAGTTGAGGCAGAGTGGACCAAACCCATGAATCAAGTCAAAGGCCACTCGCCAGAGAAGGGGAGCCCTCACTGCACTCCCCTGCCCTCCTGCATCTCTTACCTTCTTGAGGACCACAAAGTCATTCTCAGCAGCTGTGCGTTTGTTGATCTCAACTTCATACCTGCAGATGGGGACAGAGGGAAAGACCAAGGCCCCACAGTGAGCAAATGTCTTATAGAGCGCTGCTGCTGGTCTTCAAGCATCTGACTCTGCAACTATCCCACTAATGGCCCCATTTTCCTATGTCCAGAGCTATGCCACGCTGTGCACTGCTTTCTCTACCTCATTTAATATCAATTAATTCTCAAAACTTATAAGGTGGGGCCATTATCCCCAGTTTAAAAATGAACATAACGAAGGTTCAGAAAGGTTGAGCAACTCACCCAAGATCACGCAGCTAGTAAGGGGAAGAAACGGTATGAGATCAGCCCATCGATCTCTACAACCCACATGCTTCTGACCGAGCTATACTATTCTTCATCTGTTTGGTTTCTGACCTTGCTCGTATATGGCAAACTCAGCTCCCTGAATCCATCATTCATCTTCCATTTGGGACAATTTAGGGTTTTACTAAATTGATGAGAGCCTCACCCCATTGAAAGGGAACCAGACTAAGGGGGCCTTCCTAACCTTCTGCAGTCTCTCCAGAACCTCCCCGAGAGGAGCCCAGGAGCCTGGGAAGTGACCAAGCAGGATTTTGAGATGACATCCCTCAACCCGCCTCTGCCCCACCTACTTGGTTTTGAAGTCCTCCACACTGTCCTGCATGACCTTCAACTCAGACTGCAGGCGCCCTTTTTCATTGACCAAGGAGTCCAGCTGCTTCCTCAGAGCACTGATATAAGCCTCAAAGAAGGGGTCAAGGTTTTTGGTGGACGTGGTGGTTGTCTGCTGCTGGAGGAGTCTCCATTTTGTTTCCAGGACCTTATTCTGTTGTTCTAAGAACCTCACCTGTTTTTAAAAGACATGAGCCAACTGATGAGAGCCTGAAACTTTGGCGGGAGGGCTGACCAGGGCCAATGCTAACCCAGTCAATCCAAGCCAACCTGGCAGCCCAGGAGCCACCCAGGAGGGCTCCCATATTGCAACCTCAGGTGCCATCCACTGCGCTCAACAGAGGGCTTCTCCTGCACCCGTGGCCACGAGAGAGGCCACAGAGCAGCAGGGTCTGACCGTGCGGCAAGAACAACTTCCTGGCCACAGGGACACTGAGAAGAAGATTGAACTTCTATGACGTGATATGACAAAATTAGGAGATACAACCAAACCAGCATGGGGTTATTGAATGTTATTTGAATTTGAAGTGCTCCTTACCCAAAGCAAAGAAGTGATAAATTCACTGGAGATTTTTTAAATAGGCTGACTTCTAAGTGGTCCTGGTACATCCCATGGACCTGGATACAGCTGCTAGATGAAGGCCCTAGACATATTCTGAGTCTCAGGTCAATTCCATCATGCAAGGGGACCGCCCTGAATGCCCCCATCTCCATGGACAGACCTAGCAGGTAGATCGAGGCAGCAGCTCAGCATGCCACTTCCACTTTGTGTGCCTCAGCATGGAAAGGAAAGCTGGCAAGAGTGACAGGTCACAGTTCTGGCCCAAAAGGTGAGCTAAGACCAGGAAGCACCAAACCCTTGGTCTTGCTTTTATATCCATATGTCCTAGCATCACAGTAAAGCCTCTGTAAGCTGCTGTGGGTTATTCCAACTAAGAAGAAAAGCAAATAGTGCTACTCAGTCTCCTCTAGGATTATTCATTCTTTCCTGGAGTGTCTAAAAGAAGTCAGCCTTCGATGCATGGAGAAGCAGGGCCTCCTTGACCAAATGTGCCAACTCCCCCATTCAGATTCATCAATCTCTGAGTGACTCAGCTTTCTGGGGCTGGTCTGCCTGCTATCATCCACCATGCTTGGCTGAGATTGAGCTTACAGGATTAACTCTCTAGATCATGCATGGAAAAGGAAGTAGGACTATAAACAGAAAAACAAAGACCCACCACCCCCCTCTTCCCACAGACCCAGAAATGAGCAATTTTGCCCAGTTTGCCCAGAGTGAGGAGGATGAAAGAGGAGGTTCCAAGGTCCTGGAGCCAGTCCCTTTCTCATTGGGAAGCCAGCCTGGTTTTCTTCTGCTCCCAGAGCAAAAGTGCCAATAGTTAAATTAACTACTAGGTAATTACTAATTATTATCAACCATATTATTTCTGAAATATGAATCTGAGAAAATTCCACTTCATAGCCGGGCTGACCAGAACCAGGAAGGTTGAATGGTCTGCCCTGCATCACGCAGCAAGTCTAGGAAGCATCACTGAGCTGATGTGAGCAGCACATCTTCCCACCAGCATGGGGCAAGGAAATGTTCCCTCATGACTCCCCTGCGGCAGCGGGGGACAGAGACCCCAAGACATTGGAGGGTTTTGCCAGTGCCCCGGCAGGCTCACACCTGAGGAACCCACACTCAGGAACCCTGGCTGTCCCACCTCGTCTGCCCAAGGGGGCTGCTCACCTTGTCAATGAAGGTGGCGAACTTGTTGTTGAGGGTCTTGATCTGCTCGCGCTCCTCAGTCCGCACCTTCTGGATCTCAGGGTCGATCTCCACATGGAGTGGGGTCAACAGACTCTGGTTGATGGTAACTTCCTGAATGCCCCCAGGAGGGCAGAGAGGGCCACCCCTTCCATTGAAGGAGCCCCCGAATCCGCCAAAGCCGCCAGTGCCGAAACCGGCACCAAAGCCACCAGCCCCGAAACCGCTGCCAGCCCCCAGGCCAGAGCCTGGCCGGCAGGTGGCCATGCTCATGGAGATGCTCTTGCTGCACCCAAGGTTGTAGAGGCTCCTGCTGCCAAAGCCCCCAGAGGAGCAGCGGCCTGCGCCCCCGGACACGGAGAAGGAGCTGAAACCAGACTTCTTGCCCCCACCTACGACGGCCGAGCCACAGCTAAAGCCCTGGGACCCGCCTCGGACACACTGCTGTCTGGAGATCATGGCTGGAGAGGAGAGCAGAGCTCGAAGTTGTCAGAGAGAAGCGAGAGATGCCAGACCTGTGAGTGCTGAAGCCCTCGCCCGGGTCTCTTATATGTGCTGGAGGAGCAGGGCTTGGTTGCAGGGGCATAAAGGGAAAAATCCGAAACATCTCTGGGCTTGGCCTTTGGCACAGGCCCATCCTTCTCGCACCTGCTGAGCATGTCACCTAACACACCTACAGAAGTCATTCGGAGGGCAACCGCTTATGGGAGCTCGCACACTCCCCTCCAGCAGAACCTGAACCAGCGCCCAGGGGCTTTCCGGTTCAGAGGCCCGGGCGGGCTGGCCCTCCAGGCCCCCCACCCACTGCACCTCCAATCTCACTGCCTCCCAGCGGCCTCCCTGCTCCAAAGACGTCAGCTCATCCCTCACAGAATTTGGAACCTGAAGACCAGCCTTCCAGGGCACAGCTCAGCAAACTTTGAGCAAGTCACTCTGTGAGGCTCAGTCTCTTCACCTGGAAATTGGAAATAACACAAATATTTGCCTTCCCCTCCTCACAGCTCACAGTGATGTTACAGTTAACCAAGTGCTTTGTAAGTGGTCCGAGGCTGCACGTGTAGTCCATGTCATCATCACTTCCACATGCACGTACAAGGGGCACAGTCCATTGTCCGGCCTTCCAAACCTAGGCCAGCTATTGAGACCTGACACAGCTATTGAGAACCTACTGTGTGCCTACTGTGAGCATGGCACTGGGGGGCTGAGTAGATAGACGTGACGAGGAGGCCACAACGCAACACTGGCCCCATGAAATCTCTCTGCCTAGAGGCCTCGGGACTCACTCCTCCACCCACGTCCAGGTCTGCAGGGAGGGCTTCCAGCCAGCATTCTCCAGGCTGGGCTCGTTGCTGCTCCACGCGCTGACCAGCTGCTTGCTGGCCTCCCCAGGACATGGTACCTTCTGTTTTCCCGTCATGGGCCCCAACTTCAGGGCAGGGCTTCTTAACTATTTTGGTGCTGAAGCCCCTGGAGCAAAATTGTGAAACCTAGGAGTAGAGTTTTCAACTACAAAATCCTAGTTATAAGCACAAATTGAAATTCTTACCCACGAAGGGCGGCAGAGCTGTCCAATCCCACGCGTTGCCGTGAGCTAGCTGCCTTTTGGCGGGTCACTTACCTCTCTGAGCCCACTCAGCCATCAGCTGCTCTGGAAAATGAGACACCTGGTTCAGAGGTGTCCCCACACTCTGGGCCACCTGGGCTTTGCCAGTACCACTGATAGGAGAAATTAGAAAAATCTGTCCTCAAGCCCCCTGAGATTGTTACTCTAAATCTGAGAAAGAGCAGTGACAGGGCCTGGATAATTCCCACAGCCAGAGCTGACAATGACCGAATGAAAGTTGACTGTGGAAAAAATGACCAGCTCCCTCCACAGAGAGAGAAAGGGCAGGCCCAGGGGGTGAGAGGAGGTCAGTGAACCCAGGCCCAGAGGACAGGGCTGCAGAGATGACAGGGGTCTCCACCAGCTCCTTCTCTCTCCATCTCTACCCCCATGTCCTGCTTCCTTGCCCACGTCTTAGCTCTACTTCTGATGACCTACCTGCATCCCATCTACCTCAGCCTTTGCTGAGGTCTTCCTGCCTCTTCCAGGAAGGCTCTAAGTAAATGGAGGGGTAGAGGAAGCCCTGGGTGCCATGTATAGGACCCGGGACTGCACATCCACCCTTCCCATGAATATCTATGGAGTGCCAACCTTGTGCTGGGCACCGTGCTGATGCTTTAGATACATGATGTCATTTAATCTTCCTGGGTCTCTGCACCTCCCACTCATAGCTCTGTCTCTCTGCCACCCCGGGGGGCCTGCCAAGACTTCATGGGCTAGGAGGCAGATTTGCATCCACACAGGTGAAGCCCCAAGGTGGCTTGTGATCCCTGTGTCTTGTAACCTGTGGCTGTGCCCTTCTGGAACTAAGAAAACATGGTATCTTGTAGCTACAATTGTGTCCACTTTTGTCCAGCAAACCAGGTAAAAGGGATTTTCTGGAAGAAAACGTACAGTGGACCCTTAACCAGCATGGGGGTTAGGGATCCCAACCCGCCCCCACACAATAGAAAATCCAGACATAACTTTTGACTCCCAAAGCTTAACTACTTAACCACTATCCTGCTATTGACAGGAAACTTTACTGATAACAAAAACAGCCAATGAACACATATTTTGTATGTTCTATGTATTATAAACTGTATCCTTACAATAAAGTAAGCTAAAGAAAAGAAAGCCTTATAAGAACATCATAAGAAAAGAAAAAGCATTTACAGCACTGTACTGTATTGATTCAGACTGTAAGCTAATGTCTCTCTATAAGATCAATCGGCTGTCAATAGCCACATCAGTATGTTTTATAGGAGACAAAACACTGCAGACCTTATGCGACTTACTGCTATTGGGGAAAATAGTATTTGGGGGGACATATCCTCATGTAAGTGGACTGACGTAGTTCCAGCCTATGCTGCTCAAGGGTCAACTGTGTAGAATGTGATCAATTTTATTTTGTGCCTGTAGGACGCACAATTGAGGTAACTCTTATGAAGGTAACTAGAAACTGAGCCAGACGCCATCCCTGAGACAAAAAGTACGATGCAGGGGGAGGCTGCAGAGCTTTCAGGGGAGAGTGGATTGTCCTTTAGAGCTGCTGTCAAGTGCTGAACACGGGTGCTTGTCTTATAACGTTCCTCACCACAGCTCTGCAAAAGAGGAGCTACTATGCTCAGTCTGGAACTGCAGACATTGAAGCTCAGAGAAGTTGTGCGACTTGCCTGCAATCACACAGCGAGAAGTGGAGAGGAAGGAGACCAGTCCTCTCTGTCAGACTTTAAAGCCTGTGACCTTGACCCTACACCACATGATTTTACCTCAGTGACTCTGTCCCACACACAATTGGGGAAAATATATGGTAACGAATACAGCCCCGTATATTCTGGTCCCGTGCACAGCAACGGGGCCTGGGCCCACAGCCTGCATTTTCTTGGCTCCTTCTGCCCTTAGTTTTTTTTTTTTAAGATTTATTTATTTATGCATATAAGAACTTGGGTGTAGACCAGAGGTGTGAGGGGTGAGAGGATTCACCAGAGACAGAGTGAGGAGCAGAATGGGCAGATCTGCTGAAATACACTGCTGAGGGGAGCAGCAGGCGAGACAGGAGAGGTCTGCTGCGCCGTGTGGGTCAGCTCCCTGGCCAGGGATCGGACTCGTGTTGCGGTGGCTGCAGACAGCTCACAGTCCTGTGCTTAACCCCTTACGCCACCAGGGAGGCCCCGGCCCTTGTTTTTGTCACATGACTGGTTGCTTGGTTGATGCGTCCCTGTCCTTTCAAGTTCCCAGTAAGGTATGACACTGGCCAGAGGGGCCAATTCTCCATCCACAATCAATCAAATCCAAATTAATTTCATTATAAATTCTATAATAAACCCACACCCAGTAAGAAGAAATTTCTACACCAGAGCCACATCCTGTAGCTTTATTATTAAGTCAGAAGCGCCGCAAGTACACAAAACCCTCAAACTGCAGCATGAGAAACTCGAGGTAGACTTAAGGAAGAATCTCTCATGCCAGAGAGTGGGGTTTTTTTGCTGTTGTTGTTTTTACTGGAGTGAGAGAGACATAAAGAAGAATCTCTTTCCCTTGAAATGGGAAAGATGCCTCCTGCCTACCTGGGCCAGAGGCAGGGCAGACTCTACCTGGGCAAGGTGACTCTCCCGGGTTACCTGGAAGTAACAGCTCAAAGCCAGTGCTCACCCCAGCCCGCCCCCACAGCGTCTGCTATTGTTCTCTGTGACCCTTCCTCACCGGGCAGCTGGCCCAGATCTTGTCAAAAGAGAGATGAGCGGCTGACAGGGGTGTGGAGCAGGGGCAGGAGGGTGTGTTTGCCCAGGGCTTTCTGGGTGAAGGAGGCAAGTCCTCGCATTCAGCCCTGGGATTAGAGGGATCCCCAGGTTGTGTTCACTCTAGGCCCCAAATCTGGTGTGTGTGTGTGGGAAAGCACCCCGCCCTCCCTGGTCACCCTGTCTCACTGCCCCACTGGGCCTGAGTCACTCCCTGGGGATCTGGAGTCAACGTGGGGATCAAGGACTATAGAACAGGACAGGTCAGCTTTTCGGGAAGGGAGCGGTGAGGGTAATGAGAGGGTGGGAACTCCTCAGAGCTAGGGGCAGGGGTCTCTCCACGGGGCCCCCCCATTCCCAGCCTCTCCTGGTCTCCCACCCTGGCCAGGGCTTTCCAACATGTTTCTTGCAAAAACTTATGAACAGCCCCATTTGCAAAGCAGTGAAAGGAGAGGTGCTCTTCTCACCTGCTGGCCTCCCCTGGGCCCCTAAAAGCAGCACCCCCATCCTTACATTTCAGAAACTGGGTGTGGAAACCCCTGAGCTGGGCCGGTCCCAGCTTTCAGCAAGGACTTCTAAGTAGCGTGTTACTCTTAGTGGATCTTCCTCGCTGCAATACCTTCCTTGAGTTTTATTCCATGATCATTAAAACTGCCTCCAAGTAACTTCGAAGCCCTAAATGTAACTTCAGTAAAACTGTTTGTCTGTCTTACTCCGCCACTGGCAAGTTGATGCCTCATCTCAGGTTTTCTCTCCAATAAAATGAAAGCTTTGAACTAGGTTGCATCCAAAGCCCCTTGTTTCTCTGTGTCTTTCTCTCTGAGAGCAGCACAGCCCAGCTGTGAAGAACCTGGGTCTGACCCGACGGCCGGGCCGGGACTCCGCCTGCTCCTTGCTGGCTGTGTGACCTTAGACAAGTTACTCAACCGCTGAGCCTCAGTTCCTCCTCTGCAAGATGGGGGTGATCATCACATCTGTCTCACAGGCTGCTGTGAAGAGTGGGGGTGCCAGGGGTGCACAGCGGTGCGGGCACAGTCAGCGCGTGTGAACAGCCGTGTGCCCATGGGGCACATGTGCAGCGGGCGCTCTACGAGAAGCAACGCTCTGGGTGTGCAGCCTCCCCAGGCTGGGGGTGC